ACGTCCACTTCAGGTCCTGGGAGATAGTGGAGCCCAGGAACTTGAAGGACTCTGTTGGTGATACAGTGTTGCTGAGTAGGGTGGGGGCTCCTCCTGAGGTCCACTGTCATCTCCACTGTTTTGAGCATGTTCAACATGTAGGCTGACTCATCACTGTCTCAAATGAAACCAATGACTGTTGTGTCATCTGTGAACAGGAGTTTAACAGAGGGGTCCTCTGAGGTGCAGCCATTTGTGTAGAGGGAAAACAGCAGCGGGGGCAGAGCACACATCCCTGGGGGCACCTGTGCTGATAGTCCAGGTGCTGGATGTGGTTTTCCCCAGCCTCACCTGCTGCTTCCTGTCTGTCAGAAAGCTGGTGGTCCACTGACAGGTGGGGGCAGGCACAGTGAGCTGGGTCAGTTTAGAGTGAAGGATGTCCGGGATGATGGTGTTGAATGTTGAGCTGAATTCCACAAGAGGACCTGCGCATAGGTCCCTGGGAAGTATGTAAGTAATCAAGCATCTAAGTAATGCCTGGATTTGATGAGTCACACAAAAAAGTTCTCATTTTTGTACATTACTTCAAAGATGAAAGTGGGCTTAAAGGGTACACCTAACTGTTTAATTTACATTCTAAACCCAAAATAACACAGTTTTTGTAAAATAGACTAACATTTGTTACATTTGAATACATCGGTATATAAAAGCAAACAATAAAAATCCATTAGCGTCTGATTTGGCACACATTCTGCACATCACTGAGAAGCTCATTTCATTTCTTGCTGATCTCTAGCAAAGGCTTGTGCCAGGTGAGGAAAGTGGAAATCCAGCACATTTTGCACTTGTAAGAGTCAATGGGCTCTACTTTCCTGCAAGAGGGCACAGTCCTAAACTCGTGTCTAAACTTCAAGCGCAAGGTGAATACGGCCATGTTCAATAGTGTTTTGCAACATTGGAAACCACAGATGTAGAACACCTTTGTGCTCAGCCACGTGCATTGTGGAGAGGGAGTGGAATACATTTTTAGAGGGAGGAATATATCATGAGTCAGGGCTGACTTTTAGGATGTGATGATACACATCGTGTGTTTACAGTAAACACCATTCAAAAGTGCACAGAGTCTCTGTTTTGAATCAGCCCATAATAGTTGTTAGACTGCACTGGTTTTGGTGTCAGTTATACTGCTTATACATCTACATGTGTACTATACCATGGCAATGTTACTTTTTGCTGATGACTGTTTAATTATTATTTCCATGTTGCATTGGCCACAGTGTCCATAGATGTTTGGTTGATTGATGTTCATTTTTACTCGTGTGAATATGTGCTATTTTCTAATTGATTATAGTGAGACTATATGTAGCAAGATGGCTGGTAGTCTCTTGTTTGCTCAAGCAACTGGTTGCTCTTTAATAGAATTTATGTGTTGAGGCCCTGGTAGCACGGTCTGCACTGGGGCCCAGCACTATGTTGTTCTGCCCCAGGATGTAATGCTTCTGGGAACTAGAAGGACTAGTCAGGACTGAGCTGAACCACACTGTCCAATACTCCCAATTAGGGAGCAGAAGATGCCAGTATGGGAGGGACAATTAGAAGAAACAAAACAATAAAACAATAGAAATCACAAAAATATAATAAAACAATAAATAAAATAAATAAGAATCACAAAAGTACCAAATATATAACCAAAGTATATAAACAATTCAGTCACATGTACTACACATACTTAGGATGTAAAGCAGTGCCATGTTGACTGCATCATCCACTGACCTGTTTTCCCAGTAGGCAAACAGCCAGGTTTCTCTTTAATTATTTTATTTATAGACTTACATTAATCCTTACATCTATAAAATCTGTAGAGAGCAACAACTTAAGCCTGTGTGCTGCTTCTGTGTCCTATTGGAAAACAAGCAGAAACAAGAACAGTTTCTTCCCCATCACTCTGATGGCCAGTTAATCTGTTACTGTAACATAGGACAACAGTCCCCAGTGCAATGAACAGTAAATATAACTATTGTACATAATAATCTGCTACAATATATACAGTATGTATATATGCGTTTAGAAATAGTTTCTCTTTCCTTTTTAAAATTCACATATTTTTCTATTTTTCTTGCTGACTTACAAGCACATTGAGAGCCTCTGTATCAGAGACTAATTTCTTGTGTTTTTACACATACTTGGCCAATAAACATGATTCTGCTTCTGATTTCTTCTTCTGCTATTTTTTTTTATTTCAAGCCAATTATATTTCCCATTTTTGACTTAGGCCTGACCATGTGCAAACTCTTCAGGAGACCTCACCCAGAATCACAATAATTTGGTAGACATCCCACCTCTCCTGGAAGTTCTGGCATCCCCGGGCCTGCACCACTTCCTGATTCTAATGAGCTGGCTCCCTGTGGGTCAGGGTTAGAGCAGGTCAACCCCTGATCACACAGACTGTTCTCCGCAGTCCACGTGTCCAAACCTCAGGCTGTAGAGCAACACATCTTCAATTACAGGATGCAGCAAGCTCAGAGAGATGTAGAAAATACCTTTGGCATCCTGGCCAACCATTTTTGAGTGTTTCTAATCA